CTCCCAACTTCCCTGCCTCCATCCAGACTCCAACTTGGAAAACAAAAGGCGAGTGTTGGATGGCCGATGAATGGCCAACCGTCGGGCGCCGATGATACGGCCATGATTTCTAGTTTAGGAGTGTCTGAAAAGTTGCGCTGAAATATCAGGTTTTCAAAGGGGCCTTGGCTCCCGTGAGTGTCTGCAGGCGCGTCTGCTTGAGATGCGCTTGCTTATATAGTGGCCGGTGAAGTCTTATCTAGTCAATGGTATGGATGTTATCTTAAATTGTTATCTCATAGCATTATTTCTCATTGTTATCTGGCATTACTGTGCTGTGTTAGACTGCAATCTTGTTTTCATTTTGATGTGATTTCATGTGATGCATTCATCAATTCACAACGTTGTAGTAATGTTCATATTTAAAAAGTAGTTATGCCACGCTGTTTTCTGGTGTTGCTGTGCTTTTTTTAATGATCGAATTATACTGTCTTAATTAATTAGGGAGATGGTAGAGACGCGAGCGGAAACAGACGTTGCAGACGCTCTTTTGCCAGCCAAACTGCGTCAGAATGACCCACGCAGGTGCACATGTGCATCGCTATTTGGACAAAGTCCCGCTCCTTTCCCCGAGCGTGTGTCTGAAGATAATTTCGCGACCTCCCACTAAAGTCTTTTTGAGTTTTTCTTCCAACGCGAGTGAGGGCGAAATAAGCGTAGTCTTCTTCATTAAACTCAGTTCTACGGCAATCCACGAAGTAATTCTTAGTCACACCTAAACGTAGTTCCTGGGCATTGATAAACGTAGTTTTTGGTTGATTGATTGTCGAGGGCAATAAGAGGGAGATCGTTTCTCTAGAGCAATAATAGGGAGATCGTTTCTCGCGGGCAATAAGAGGGAGATCCTTCTCTAGGGCAATAATAGGGAGATCGTTTCTCGAGGGCAATAAGAGGGAGATCGTTTCTCGAGGGCAATAATAGGGAGATCGTTTCTCTAGAGCAATAAGAGGGAGATCGTTTCTCTAGGGCAATAATAGGGAGATCGTTTCTCGAGGGCAATAAGAGGGAGATCGTTTCTCTAGGGCAATAATAGGGAGATCGTTTCTCTAGAGCAATAAGAGGGAGATCGTTTCTCTAGGGCAATAATAGGGAGATCGTTTCTCGAGGGCAATAAGAGGGAGATCGTTTCTCGAGGGCAATAATAGGGAGATCGTTTCTCTAGAGCAATAAGAGGGAGATCGTTTCTCTAGGGCAATAATAGGGAGATCGTTTCTCGAGGGCAATAAGAGGGAGATCGTTTCTCTAGGGCAATAAGAGGGAGATCGTTTCTCGAGGGCAATAAGAGGGAGATCGTTTCTCTAGGGCAATAAGAGGGAGATCGTGT